TGAGAAACAAAGTATTAAAACAACTTTTCTCCCCTCTCTCCTGGACTTCACCCCTTCACTCCTGACTTCCCTACCCACTCTCAGTGGGGAACTAGAGTCAGTCCTTAATAGTTCCCCTCTCTTGCTCCTTCCTCTTCACAGTTTTCCCCTGCTTCTGCACGGGCACTCCACACATCACAGTGCTCATATGGATGAGATATGGATATCAGGAAATAACCATTTGCCTACTCTAGGTCCTAGGGTCTAGAACTACACTGAGGATACTTTCCCTGCTGTGGGACAACTCCTTCTCCTTTCTCTGTCCCTGCTGTTCCCTTTGTTTTGTTCACTCCAGTTTTTTTATCCTCCTCTGCTTCTGCTCCACTACCAAAACCTTTCCATCAACACCCAATACATGATAATGCTAGTCACTGTAACAAAGAAGGTATCAGAATATCCTCAGGAGCCTGTGCTCAGTATGAAACAGTATTTTTCCTTAAGACCCAGTGACTACCACCCAGTATCTGTCTCATGAGCCACTGAAAAAAAAGGGGAACAAATCCCACTATATTTTAACCTCATCAGTAATTCTCTCATCAGATAAACACAATAAAATTCAGATAGATTCTTGTCTAAAAAATCCTACAAAAGCACATACCATGCTGATAAAAATTTCATTTCTGTGAATAAAATTTTCAGTCATTGAGGGTAGAAAGGAAAAATGTCATGTGTTTCTGACTGAGCCATTGCTGAATTCTTCTCAACTGTTACAGATATTTGTTCTCCCTTGAAAAGCATTGGTTTAAGCAAATAATCTCAGCAGCTAATCTAGTAGTGTGATGCTCCCTACAGAAGAGTTTGTCAGAGAACATAAGAGACTGAGGATCTGTTGGTCCCTAATCAAATGTAATACTTTTCTACACTAATTCCATCTCTAGGAGATATCCAGAAATGTGATTTTTAACAGTCTTCCTGAAAAACACTAATACTATTTTATAAAATGAAGTTATGCCTGAAGTTACTCTGCAATATGTCCTTCATATTCTCCATTGCTGCATTCAGATAGCAGCATGTCTTTACTCAGCCTCCTCCACAAGTGCTTTGGAAAACCCACGGGATCTAAATAATGGCACTGCATTAAGTGACTTTACTTTGCAGGTTACATGCCCATTTTTTTCATGTGATGCTCTGGCATCCTGAAATGTCCTGGTTCTTCACTAGTAAAACTGGTTTTTTCTTTGTATTTGTTGACTGAATGATATTGTGAGTAAAACTGGCTCTTTGATTTCCAGGCCAGGAGACTGAAAGCTCAGTAGGACATGCCTTTTATAAAGAAAAGTAAAATTACTGGATAGGTTATAAAATCTGATCTTGTATTCAAAAATAGACGAATGCTTGATCAGTTTCTCACAGCAAGTTCAAAGAAATACTAAGCTAGCTTTCAAAATAAAGAGGAAGATATTCCAAAATTATTATTATTATTGTTAAATTATTATTTTGGTATTATTCCAAAAGAAAAAAGTATTTGTGGCTCTCAGGAAAGCTGCTTGCAGCATTGACTCTAACACACTTTTCTTCAAACTGGTATTTTTGAAGACTGTGTCTTAACCATAGAAACTATCACTTCTCATGGTACAGTTTTAGGATCTTGTAAGTAGTGACTCTTTCATCCACCAAAATTTCTCAGATTAGTTTTATTTTTGTGAATTCTGTTTGCTGCTCTGGAAAGTCTTCTGCTTTTACTGAATTAAAGTAGACAATTTTCGTATGCTTTACCTTTAAAAGTTCAGCTTTGGGAATTCAGAAAAATATACTAAACCTACTCAGTTATTGAAGGTTCTTCCTCATAAAATTTTCCTCATATAATCATGTCATTAGTGGAGGCATCACTGAGAGGGCTGGCCTCTCACTTTAAACAAAGATTATTATTACCTACTATTATGGCTGTTGTTCTGAGGTGGAGAAGAGATTTGAGAACCAAATATCTCAGCTTTCCAAATTAAATCATTATTTAAATACAGAAACAAAATGGGAAGGGCCCTTTGTGGGATTTTTCACAGTACATTTCCAATATTTCCAACACGTATTCTTAGGGATCCAACCTTCACTGAGAAATTGCATAAACCTCTCAAGTTAGAGATCTTATTTTTTAAATAAAAGGAAGATTCAATGTGTTATCTTGGTGTCCAGACATAATGAAATGAGATGTATTTTTTCATCTCCAGTTTGCACACAATATAAAAGGGGTCAATTGAATAGAGCGTAACTTGCAGTCAACAGCTCCCCAGCGCACTCAAAGGAAAATGCATCCTCTCCTTTTTAATCAGACTTATGAATAGATAGGGGTGGTTTCATATGCACTTTGAAGTCTCCTACCCTGAGATCTGGCCTGTTCCCTGTGTTTTTTTCCTGGAACATGGTCCTATCCAGGGTACCTATGCATATCACAGCCTCTGCCATCATTTTTAATAAGTAGCTTATCTCTGTGATGCAACTAAAAGCAATCCTGAGTGTCTCCAGGGTTTGTTGTAATTAAATTTTATTGTTGTATTTGAAAATGTACATTTTTTGAAAACTGGTGCAACAAAAATGGAAAAGAGATTCTAGAAGGTGATAGTCTGATTTTCAGAAGGTTTTAACCCTTTGTTGTTTCCAGATTCACAAGCTTATTTATGCTTCCCAAGCAGCTTTACTTACACGCCTCTGAAGCCCTGAATATAGCAGCTAGTGTAGTTTATTAGCTGATGTTGGGTAACTGTCCAAAGATTATAATTTATACCTGCAGTCAGATGCTGTAGGATCAGAGATTCAATAATTTGTGTGTTGCTAATAAGATTGTAGAAGGCCTTTTCTGAAAGTCTTACACGCTTGCAGTTGCCCCTTTCTTCTCCAAGTATTTACAGTTATGAGGGAATTTCAAGTCCCAATACTGCTGTGAAAAAAAAAACAGGATTTGCCAACTTCTGATTGGGACAATAAAGAAATATCACTGATTTGAGCAGAAAACCAGCCAGTTTACTTATATTGTTCTCTGGAATTCCACTGCCATGCTCAGGCACCACCACCCAAACCACTGAAGAGTGCAACATGCCTTTGCACTCACACCTTTGTGCAGTCAGTGGAATTTCTTGCAGACTGCATTCAGGGACTGAGCATCACTTTGGTCATTGTACTGGTCTCAGTTCTCTTCACAGCTCAGCTCATCAGGACTGCTAATAAGCACGCATTGCAGTTTTCCCCTTTTGTGTTTTATTCCTACTTGATTTTCTTGCCATGGGGTGCTGTGAACAGCTTTTAGAGATTCATGTAACAATTTTTTCCAAATCAAAATACTTTCTCCAAACAATGTCATCTTTTCTGTCTGGCATTGCTACTAATCTTTATTTAGTTATTTACTTTACAATTTCTAGAGGGATTGGATGTGCTCAAGGCACCCCTTTAAGCAACACTTTATATCAAGGTTGCATTTATAAATACTTCATGAGAGGCTAATGAATGATTAATAGATGTTTTAATGTATGACCAATCAATTGTAGATTTTGCAATGTCCAACAGACAAGTAGGTTTCTTATAAGCATAGATTATAACCATATCTGACATCTTCTATTGATGGGCTTCTAAACGTCTATAACATACACACTACTCATATCTGTAACATGCTTAAAACAGCTACTAATCACTGATTAATTTTTTATAACCTATTTTGAATCAGAGCCTGTCTATGGAGTATATCCCTTACTGCTGCTTGTGACTCTCCATTTCTAAAAGATTGATAATTTACTCATCATCTAAGGTCTTAGAAGTCCTACTAATTTCATCTCAAACATAAAGCTTTCTTGAGTTAGCTCTAGCATTTTCATCTCAGTCTAGGAAAAAATGTCCCTTGACTGTTTTGTCCCTCAGACTTCTGGCTGCTCTACCCTGCTAATGTGTATTTTACAAGTTCTGCTATAATGCAATGATTCTTACGAGGCAAAGCCACTATAAAATGTATTTTCAGCTTCTTGAACTCAGTTTGATTGCTCTCAAGACAGCTGTCCAAGTGATGATGGTTCCCGACATTTTTTTTTTAACTGTCATTCCTGTGTGCTTGGTTCAAAGTTTGCCTTTCTCAGAAAAGGATAAGAAAATAGAAACTTTACAATAATCCAGGGGAAAAGCCATGTCCAAGACAACTTTTGATTCTGACAGATGAACACACATTTTGTATGCTTGTGATAAGCACAGGAGTTGATAGTGGGATTCCCCTCGTCTCCTAAAGTGAAAGCCATGACCATGCTCTATGCTTTCTATGGAGCATTCAGGTAGAATTGACTAAAACAGGCAATACAAATTATTTCCTGAAAATTTATGAGTCCTGGAAACTAATCATTCACATTTGAGAAACAGCATGTTGCTTGGTATTGTATTTTGCTAATGAATTTTGAAATTTTAGTTGCTATCTACTGACCTCACTTGCAAGGTGATAAAATCTATTGTGATTTATCTATATATTAAGACCAATTACTTAATGATAAAAATTAAAAGGATTTGCAGATTTTTCTTGGCTTTGGGGTCACCAGTAGAAAAGTTTCTGTTCTGAATGTACCAAAGTAAACATTCCACTCTCAGTCAAATCAACTGCTAATCTTTCACTCATTGCTCTTTACTGCAGTACTAAGCTGCTACACCTGTGGCATTAGTAATTGAACCTAAAGAAACATACCAAGCTTAACTCGATTTAAAAAAAAAAAAAAAAAAAGAGGGGAGAGAGAACATAGGGTTTTAAAAGGGAATTTTATTCTTCAAAATGAACATGGAATTTCCTTTTCCTTTTTTGAAACTATTCATTTTCAAAGCCCCAGAAGTAAGAACCTCTTGGACTTGAGCTCTTGGAGCAGACATTTTTTTACAGACAATTAGGTGGGTAAAAAACATTAAAATAACATAAATGTTACTGTGCCTTCACTTTCATATTATCCAGTTAGCATTATACGTTTATCATGGGTCTTATCATGATATTTGATTTCTTTTTTTTTCAGCTGGTTAATAATCCACTAGCAAGTCAAGCAGCAGCAGCTGCAGCAGCAGCAGCCATGGGCTCAATAGCAAACTCCCAGGCCTTTGGGAATGCCCTCTCCAGTCTTCAGGGGGTCACAGGCCAACTTGTCACTAATGCACAAGGACAGGTGAGTAGAAGATGGAGCAAACAGTGAATTCTGATGGCAGGCTGATCTGGGGACAAAAATGAGTTCCGCTTGTATGACAGCAATTTAGAAGTGCACATGTTGAAGATAAATAAATATTGATTTGCCAGACAAGGTAAGAAAAGGAAAGTCTGAGAAACAGGGGGAAGTTAGGCACTCTTTAAGAGTGTTTTCAAGCTAGAAAAGGCTAGGGGTTTATTTTATTTTGCTTCAGCCCTTTAAAAATATCGCAGTAGTGCAGTACCACGGTATTTTAAAAGTCCAGCAACTCTGTGATTCTTAACAAACATACCATCTGTCTTCTTCCACTTAACTATGCCTCATAACACAAATCTTTACTGGAGTGGTACTGGGCTTCACTTTTTTGCATTTCTGTGGCATTTCTGTATTGCCTCATTTCTTAAAAGGCATTAAATGTTTCTAGTAAAGGAAAATAAATTGTTGTGAAGTATTGGGGATGGATTTATCTGAGTGGCTTACTCACTTGTTTATTAACTATGTTAAGAGATTTACAATGAATATGCCAGCCTGTAAATGCAAATTTGGTAAATTATTTTGGCTTAAAGAAAATTTTCCAAATAGGAACTTCAACACTGTTTAAGAATTAGTGTGTCTAAGAGAGAGATTGTGCATTACCTACATTACTACATTTTGGAGCTGTTTATTTGTTCAAAATATTTCAGTTTAAGTCTTAGTATGGTACAGAAAGATACACATCTGAATCCATATATATAAAAGTAATTCCTTTGATACAGCATATTTAAGTGGCTTTCAGGTTGTGACCACTTTCATTGCATTTATTAGAACTAAAATTAATGCAATGTCTTGTTTCTCTGCAACAAATCTGTCAATATAACTGGTAACTGAATAATTTGAATATCATTATTCTAAATTCTACAAAATGGGCACACAGTGATACCCACAGTATTTATGTGGATGAAAAATATTTATTGAAATTATGCAGCTTGGCTGATATGTGAATCTCAAGTTAAGTTTCTACTCTTACTCTTTACTAGTGGGGAGATAATAAAGGAAGAGCAGAAATTCCTGGTAATTTTCTAGGTAATTGGAACAAGAGTGAGGTTTTTTATTTTGGCCCATTAAAAAATAAAAGTTAACACTTTATAGGACCCTCCTGTTTGGTTTTTTTTAACAGGGCACATAAACAAAGATGCTTCCTGAGCTTCACTATCACCATCCAAGTCCCAGGAAAAAAAAATGCTGACCTTGTTATATTTACTGGGTGGGTGCAGAATTGTTCCATCACTACCCCGAGGGTTGAACGATGGAGCTTGTCAAAGTGAGGCCTTATCTAATGAATCATCTTATCGCAGGTGCACACCACACATATTAAAGGAGGATTGTATGAACAATGTGCCCTCTACAATAACCTTTCAATGTCTACTTTAACCCTTGTTTCAATCCCTTTTCATCAAAGGATCATTTTATGCAGCCAGCTTTAAATGGAGGCTCTCAAAAGCCTATTAAGATTTCTGGAGGGATGGGGTATTGGTTTGGGAGAAAAGTTGGTTATAATACCTATAACTCATAGTCAGATCAGCTCCAACCTAGAAGCCTGCTTGTTTCTATCTCCTCTGTGCTCCAGAAATGGTTCACAGTCACCACTCACATATGGGGCACTAGACACCAAAGTGTTCATTGTAAGAGCTGAAGTTATGAATGTGGACTAATTTTTAATAGCTTTTCCTTTATGTGTTCTCCACTGAAAACTTAATCTATGTGTGACCATTCATTGTATTCTTAAAAAAATACTACTAAGAAGATATCACTGAATGAAAGTTTCACTCAGGCTGAGTGTTGTTTATTCCAGGTATAATCTAAAGTCCAGTAATTCCACAGGTTGCAGAGAAAGAGAAAGGAAAGGGAGAATCTTCCCAATTGTTGGAATAAAATTAAAGCATCTAGATATCTGCCTAGGTCTTTTAAGTAAGGGTTGTCTTTCTATTACTTGCTTTTGCAAATGTTCCTCGGTTTATAATCAGTGCTGCAGGCCTTGCCACAATATAGATAAATATTGATAGCAAGTGTGTAATATAACACACAGTTTTATAATATTCAGCATGAACTCATATTACTTAGAGACCACTTCTCAGACTGCCCTAAAACAGGACTATTCAGCATAACTTATCTGCATTCCAAAAATTAAATTACATTCCCTTCAAATTAATAGAATTATAGCACCTAGCCAAGAGCTACAAGACATTGGGAGCATAAACAAAGAGTAATTTGAAATGCTCCATTTCTGAATAATCTGCTTGGAATCACTAAAGAGCCAGATTTGCACCATATGTTAAGAATCTGCCCTTTGAAAATTGCCCCTTTCAAGGAATCACAAGCGTGATACCCAAAACTCACTCCTGAAAATATAAAGCTGGATGAGTTGCTAGAATGTTGGTACGTGCAATCTTTGTAATTACATGCTGTTTCTGTTACAGAAATTCAGGGCTTGTAAATGTCCATCTGTCTAGCTAAATATATGGTGATCAGTAATCCCTGGAGATATTAAGCTCTAGGTCAAATCCAAGATCCTATGGCAAATTTAAGGGAAATGATCCTTTAAATGACATATGGCATGGCCCTAATTCCCAATAGTCTAGGAGTTCTTACAATTACAGTAACAAAATCATATATATTAGCAATAATTTATATTAGAGATTCGTTATTTATTCAATTATTGAATTCACAGTTATGGCATGTTTATTTATCTTTCTTCTTTTGCTTTGGATGGCAATATGAACTGTAATACCAGAGCTTCCCAAGACCAAGCCAAGAGATCTAATCCATTGAAACAATATGATTAGATCACTTGATTAATTTGATATAGTACAGGTAGAGGACTCTAAATCAAATTTTCATTTTCAGAGGCATATTATGAAGAGCTATTGGCCCATGTAACGCTGCTTACATTCTGTTTGCCCTCAGCACTTTCCAGGAAGTGTTTGCAGCACTGGGCTTTCATATCTTAAATTTAAAGGCCAGGGCAGCAGGTTTGCCAGATTGCACCCTGTCAGTGGATTTCAAAGAGAGACTGTCTACCTATTCAGCTTCAGCCTGCCCTTACAGTAGGACCCTGGTGCCATTGCTGCCCTTGGATTCTTCAGAGGTTTAATAACCCAATACATCTCTTTTTTATGCTGATTTTGCAAATGAAAGAAAAAATCAAGAGTTTTGTGTTGGTTTTACTATGTTTATTAAGTATGTGAAATGTGTGCTTTGGCTTTGTCATAATAATTGTAAGGAAATGAGTCACAGAAATATGAAAGCAAGGTTGATGAATATGTTTTCTTAATTATCATCAATTGCATTCATAAATGTCTCTTGACTTCAGCAGGATCAAATACATTTTAACTGTGGGTACTGAGTAGGTTTAGTTTCTCTTTTGGGAAGATGGAAGTTGTCTAACAGGAGAAAAATGCCACTAAATTCATCAGTTGCAAAATAACATTTTACCATAAAAGAAAATAGTAGTATGATAAGAGTTGGCATTGTGAACTGCCTTATGGACAAAGAGGGCAATAGTCTGTTTCCTGGGAGATTAAAAGGAAAATCTAAGTATGTATGGTGTAATCGTATTGTCCACACTTTAATTGAACAGTGAATAAATTGGGATTGTTTCAGTGTAAATCTAAGAATGGCCCTGAAGGAACTCAGGCTTCATTGTGCCTATGCCTTGCTCTGTAGATATGAAAATCTTCTGTATAAAAAAAAAATCTTAAGCACGGGTCCACCCTGGTACTTAACAAAAAAATAACTAATTTTTGAGTGTTGTAGTCCACAAGTATCTCAGGAAGCTAAGTAGAGAGAGAGGCATTGTTGATCCAATTAGATAATAGGAGTACTTTGGTTCTCATTATTCTGATGAGAGGGTACACATTTGCTCTTTGAGCTTCTTGATGGTAAACGGTGCTAATGAGGCCTGATGGATTCCCTGCTCCTAACAAGGCTCTCAGCAGTGCGAGTGATTACAATGGAGATAGATTTGATGGGATGCGCTCCCTTTTGTAGTGTCTCAGCTGCTGACACTCTGCGACATAATCAGGTCACAGAGCCGGTCACAGCCATCAGCAAAAGCCATAGCTCTATTCCTCATTATTAAAGTGCATTATTCAGTTCCAGGCCTTCACAATACTGCCAAGGGCCTTTTTTTTCTTCCCCTTTTTTTGTTAAGCATCAGTTCTCAAATACAAGAGTTAATAAAATCATCAGCTAAAGAACTAGTAAATTAAAGAAATGGAAATAAAGTGCTCCCTTTCAAATTCATTCAAGGATCACAATTAAATAAGCAGGGAATTTCTCATCACCACACACTGTAGAGTACAATGTAATATGTCATGTGCAATAACAACAGGGATAGGATTTTAAAAAATAACATTGTCCTCATTGTGGACTGGCTTGGAAAGTGCTAAAGTATCTTTTATGGTAAAGGAAATTTCTGTAGTCCCAACTATTATATGTCTTCACGTAAGTACTATTATTTTCACTGTTTTCTCTAAGTACCTTTTTTTCTGAAGTGAGAACAGTTATTTGCAAACTAAGTTTATGATTCTAAGCGGAGCAGCTGTCTTGTCTTAGCTTAAGTGGCCAAGGCCACAATCTGGAAAATATGCAATAGGCCACAGTACCTGGACCTCTTTGTTCCATAGACAAGGCCATTAACTTCTTTTAGGGGGTGAGGCAATTATAAAATGGTGTAAAAAAGGTATTTGTAGCATTTTCTTTCTATTCTGATGATGTTCAGGTGGGGCTATCCCCATTCCAAAAGAAAATACTCTTTGAAAATCTAAGGCACATTTTAATGCAATTTAGTTAAACAGCTGAGAAAAAAAAAAAAATGGAAAGCCTGAATTTCTTAGCTAGGTATTTAGTTAGTTATTAACTTTTTGTTTTAGTTTTTGTTTCAGTTAAATAGAAATAAGATATTCAAATACTGAAATGTATACCTTTACAGGGATTTAAACCAT